CATTATGGTCCATTTTTGCTTACCCATTTGCTAATTGATGTTTTGAAACGCAGCGCGCCATCGCGGATTGTTATTGTTGCTTCCGAACTGTATCGCTTTGCTTCGGTGAATTTGGACAAACTCAACCCGATTGGTACGTTCCCAGCTGCCTATCTGTACTATGTGTCTAAGTTCGCCAACATTTATTTCGCACGCGAATTGGCTAAACGCTTGGAGGGTAGTGGAGTGACGGTGAACTTCTTGCACCCCGGCATGATTGATTCGGGCATCTGGCGCAACGTGCCGTTCCCCCTCAACCTGCCCATGATGGCTATAACGAAGGGATTTTTCAAGACACCCAAAGCAGGCGCACAGACTACTATTTATTTAGCCACCTCGGAGGAAGTGGCTAATGTGTCGGGCAAGTATTTCATGGACTGTAAGGAGTCGACATTAAGTGCAGCGGCTATGGACGAGGATAAGGGCCGCAAATTGTGGGAAGAATCATTGAAAATTGTCAAATTGACACCGCAAGATCCAAAAATCTAAAAACATTTAACAAAGACTAGCTTCGCTGAAGTGCCTACTTCACAGTCTTTAGTGAGAATAATAAAAGTTTTTATATGAAAATTTTACTCGTAATTTAAGTTTTATAGTGTGCAATATGCAATTTTGATGGAATAAGGAAATAAAAGTGAAATTATCATTGTTTTGATACCACCTGTCGTTTGCTTGCACGTACAAAGAAAAAGTGCTTTAAAGCTCTTAGCGCTTTTCCAATATGATTAACATGCCACTGTTAGCAAGTGTTAACTGGAGCTTTTACTGTTAACTTACATATGTATGTATGTATAAGCCAGGGTGGATTTTGCAGGTACCTTTTTTGAGCCCTTTTCAACTGAACATTATGTAAAAATTTTGTAGGTTATGTTAGATAAAGCTTAAACAAATTTTGTTTGTTGCACTTTGTTTTTTATCATTTTTTTTTTAATAAATGCTACATTTACTCGTATAAAGTTAAGACTTGTAAAGAGTCGTAAGTGTATTTCATCTAATGTGCCTCAAAGTAAAAAAAAGTGGCGACGCCAGGAAGATTGGGGTTTTTATTAATCGCTCTGAATGAAAATGTATAGACATATAAAAGAAAATTTTTTAGAGGATGTGCTCTAATTATAAAATGGAAGACAAAAAAAAATAGTGTAAAAGAAGAGGCTTATAAACATTTGTATGTCTATAAACAGTAATCGGTTATAAAACCCTTTTAGAATAGACGATCTTTATTTAGTCCACAAGTAGAGCCGTATAAAACCGGGCAGGCTCATTAATTGAATCAGATAATATATTTTATTTATAAAATTTACCCAGTACATCTGGAATCCTGAAAAATTGAACTGGTACCCTGTATCAGCTGTGAAATCATGGATACGCCACTGGAGGTGGTTATTGCATGAAGAACTCTGTATCTTAAATATAAAAATTATAATTAACAACGTTGCTGAGATTTGACTCGACCTGAGCTAAATGTAATTTTTTGAAATGCTGCTTTATATATATTTTTTGATTTTAGATATGCAACGAGGGCTGCTAAATTTACTCAAACCGTGCCATTATTGCCTTATTTTATTGCACTTTTGAAAGATAGTAATATTTCAATACATTTTTGTGAAATCCTTGGCGTTTTTCTTTTTATCAACTAAAACTTTTTAATTTCTATAGTGTTTGCAACTGGTTTATCTTATTTTGGCATTCGACTTTTGTTTTAGGATTGTGTTTCTCTAATTTCAATGCTAAATAGGAAGAATTAAAAAGAATGGCACCTTTTTGGCACTTTTATTTTTCTATTTGGCACATTTTGGCACTTTTTTATCCTCAATAAGGCACATCATAGCTAAGGATAGTTGGCAGCCCTGTATGCAACCACGACATTATTAATGACAGTAGTTGCAAAGTCCCCTTTCAGACACGTCAGGTCTTGAAAGCAATTTTTTCACATTCTCTTTTTGTTTTATATTTGCTTCCAGACGCGTAAACTTTTATTTAATTCAAGTTCTTGATTTTTTAAATGGGAAGCAACGAAAATATCCAAAGAGACAAGTAAACGAATTGACGGTATGGAGGAGGTATCTGTACTCTTTCCCTCTTTTCTCAGCTCCTTCGCCTTGGAACGAGCAGACTTGAGCGCAAGAATTGACGTGTCCGAAAGCTGACTAACATTCTCTTCTTATTTTTGAATTATTTATATGAAACACAAATAGTTCTATTATATACAGGGTTGCCACTTGGGTAAATTATTACCAAAATTGGTAGAAAATTTTTGGCTTTGTATAAAGATAAATTTTTTCTAATTTTGGAAGATTTTTGTTAAAGTATTTTATTTGAAAATCCTTGATTTTTATGGGTTTGGTTAAAGCGCAAAGAATATTCTTATACAGAAAAAAATTTATACTTGAAAACCACTGTGAATTTTAAAAAACAACAAGCGCTTTTGTGAGTCACTTGTCTGTAATAACTCCAGTTGAAGTTTTTTCAAATGATGAAGCTTCGCGTTTGCCTTCAGTTTCATCACTTTCGCTTTTGGTTGAAGAAAACCGAGAAGTTGCCATTAATACGATCTCAAATACCATATTATTAGTTGAATAAAAAGTTCCTTAAATAATTTTAACTTTTATTGAAATAGCTAAAAGAATAGAACAAAACTATAGTTTTTATAAAATTAACTAAGAAAAATTATCGGTAAATATTTTCCAGAAGTGGATGGTAAGTACTTTTGTGTCAGTGGCAGCCCTGATTATGTGTTAAAATTATAGGGCTGTGCGATTAATTGATTATTCAAAATTTTAATTAATCATAAAGTAAATAACTCAATTATTCGATTAATTGGAAATTATGATTACTCAAAAGTTCAGTTACTCGAGTAATCAAGATTTTGATTAACCAAAAACAAAAATATTTGAGTAATTTGCTTTATGATTAATCAACATTATGAATAAAATGAGTAATGAACATTTCAAAGTACTCTTTACATACATACATATAAAGCAGTTGAAGTTCCTTGATACTTTGAAAAAAACGTTTCTGTTTTCAAAAATTAAAATGAAATACATACTTACATACATATTTTTTTCATATACAGAATATAAAAAAGAAAATAAGCATTTTCCAAAGCAAACTCTTTTAACGAGCAAAATTAATTTTTTTGAGTAATCATATTTCAAGTAACTCGATTAATCATCGTTTTGAGTAATAAAAATCTTGATTACTCGAGTAATTGATTAACCGAATAACTGATTAACCAACTTGCTCGAATAATCGAATAATCGCACAGCCCTAGTTAAAATTGTGTTTCTGTGTTATATGAAAAAAAAAATGCATAAAATATAAAACTTAGAATGACAGTAAAAATTTGTTTGTTGTTGCGAAAACCTGCTGAATTTTTATAATTTTTGTACAAAGTTTGAAATCTCGATTTTTGTTTACATATTGTGTTTATTAAATTATGAATTAGACTTTTATATAAAATCCATCGAATAAAAATCGATGAACAGAATAGGCGAAACTTTGTTTGAAATAAGGTTTCAGGCTGGTTGTAGCCCCGCTTGCCATGTAGCGGTAGTTTTCGGAAAGATGGAAAAACTATATTTAATACTTGCGCCGGGTATTAATGTTCGGCTCCGCCAGAACTTAGACCTTTTTACTTGTTTATTTGATACTTTGCCGTCGAGAATGAACCATATGGAAAAGTCCATTGACTTTAAGTCCGGCGAGTATGGTGGCCATGTTGCGGAGAAATGTCGCTGGGATTTTTTTGATCTAAAAAACGGTTTCTGGAAACGTACAATAATTTCTACTGGATTTTTTCGTGCCTAAGGTAATAAATCATCGTTTAGATTCTTTTCGCGGTAGATTTGTTGATTTACCTTTACGCCCTGCTCAATGCAAAATTCCAACAGAGTAGTACACTTTTTTTTTTTAAATTTGACAAGTTTTCATTTTGAACTGATGTTTTTAAATAAAAAAGCAGCAAAGTAGACAAAATTAATTGATAACACTCGAGTGCCTATCCCTGTACATATGTATGTAACTTTCTCTCTTCCCATGGTCGATTATTTTGAGAAATTCGCTCATTCATTTAAAAGAGTTTTATCGAAATATATTAATCCATTTACATGTTTTTGCAATTATGTATATGTATTTATATACATACATACATAGTATAAGCAATCAACACATACATTTGCTTTATAAATGCAATGATTTTCTCAATGTAATACGATATACATACATAACTTACCTGCAATAATTCTGAATTGACCCACTCACTCACAAAAAGGAAGTGGACGCATGTGAGAAATTAAAACATGAATTAATAAATTACAAAAATTCCCACACCTGTTGAACATGCAAAATTACTCTTCTTATTTGAGTGAAAACGAAATCTGACAAATATTCTCAGGGGACATTAAATGAGACATGAAACAGAAGGACGAACGCATAATCTGATAAAATTGCACAATTTGTCGGTCTACCACCACGCCGCCGAAGGGATAGCGGCGCAGCCCCTTTTCAACACAAATCGTTTATTAGTGGCGTTGGCCGGTTAGTTTGCGGTAGATTACACG